GAGGCCTGATCCACTTACCCACCGTACCCTGTCCTCTGTTATGTACTGTATCTGTATTAGAAGAACAGTGTGTGTGTGTGTGTGTGTGTGTGTGTGTGTGTGTGTGTGTGTGTGTTAGTGGTGTGGTGTGTGTGTGTGTGTGTGTGAGTGTTGTGTGTGTGTGGTAGTGGTGTGTGGTGGTGTGTGTGTGTGTGTGGTGGTGGTGTGTGTGTGGTGGGTGTGTGGTGGTGGTGGTGTGGTGGTGTGGTGGTGGTGGTGGTGGTAGTGGTGTGGGTGGTAGTGGTGGTGGTGGTGGTGTGGTGGTGTGTGTGTGTGGTGGTGTGTGTGGTGGTAGTGGTGTGTGGTGTGGTAGTGGTGTGTGTGGTGTGGTGGTGGTGTGTGGTGGTGTGGGGTGGTGGTGAGTGGTCGTGATGGTGTGGTGGGTGTGGTGGGTGGTGGTGTGGTGGTGGTGGTGGGTGTGTGTGGTGTGTGGTGTGTGTGTGGTGTGGGTAGGTGGTGGGTGTGTGTGTGTGGGTGGGTGTGTGTGGTGGTGTGTGTGTGGTGTGTGTGGTGGTGTGTGGTGGTGTGGGTGTGTGGTGGTGTGGGTGGTGGTGTGTGTGTGTGTGTGGTGGTGGTGGTGGTGGTGTGTGTGTGGTGTGGTGGTGTGTGGTGGTGGTGGTGTGGTGGTGGTGTGTGTGTGGTGGTGTGTGTGTGGGTGGTGTGGTGGTGGTGGTGGTGTGTGGTGGTGGTGGTGGTGGCGGTGTGGTGGTGGTGGTGTGGTGGTGTGGTGGGTGTGTGTGTGTTAGGTGTATCACCCTTGTCCCTATCACTAGTTTTTCCTCCTCAACACCCAGACATATTTCACCACAGCGGAGGCCATGAGGCTAGTCTGAGTGTTGGAAAGAACTCACTGACCATGTGTGGTGGTGGTGTGGTGGTGGTGTGTGGGTGTGGGTGGTGTGGTGGTGGTGTGGGTGGTGGTGTGTGTGGTGGTGTGTGTGTGTGTGTGTGGTGTGATGTGTGTGTGTGTGTGGTGTGTGGTGGTGTGTGTGGTGTGTGGTGGGGTGGTGTGATGGTGTGGTGGTGTGTGTGTGTGGGTGTGTGGTGGTGATGTGTGTGTGTGTGGTGTGTGTGGTGTGTGGTGGTGTGTGGTGGTGGTGGTGTGTGTGTGTGGTGTGATGTGGTGGTGGTGTGTGGTGGTGAGTGTGGGTGTGGGTGTGTGTGGGTGTGATGGTGGTGGGTGGTGGTGTGTGGTGGTAGTGGTGGTGGGGTGGTGGTGGTGGTAATGGTGGTATGTAGTAGAAGCAACCCATAGGTAGTAGTATAAGGTATTAAGTAATGGTAGTAGTAGAAGGTAAGTAGTAGTGGTGGCAAGTAAGTAAGAGAAAGTATAACAATAAGTATAACTATATACAACCATAGAACAGCAAGTATTGGCAAATCATGGCAACTAAGTAATAGTAGTAAGTACAATTATAGCATAAAAGGTTAAGAAGAGTACAACTATATAGAGAAAGTAAAATTTATAAGAAAGAAATATATAACATGTAGCAATAAGAACCATAAGAGTGATAGTATATAAGCAGCAAACGCGCAGCAGTGGTAACCCATAAAGCAGATAAATCATAAGAGCAGTGGCAACTTATGAAAGAGCAGCCCTACAGTATAAAGTATATAAGTGTGCTAACCTAAGTAGCAGCTACAAGCAGCAGATACCAAAGAAAGTAGGGTGGTAGAGGTGGTGGTAGTAGTAGTAATGGTAGTAGTAGGGTGGTGGTAATGGTAGTAGTAGTGGCATGGTGGTAGTAGTAGGGTAATGGTAGTAGTAGTGGTGGTAGAGGTGGGTAGTAATGTAGTGGAGGTAATGGTGGAGAGGGAGTAATGGTAGTAGGTGGTAGGTAGTAGTAGTGGTAATGGTGGTAGTGGTGGTAAGGTGGTAGTAGTGGTAAGGTGGTAGTAGTAGTGGTAATGGTAGTAGTAGTGGTGGTAGAGGTGGTCATGGAGTTGGGTGTGGTCACTGTGGTGAACTTTATCTTGTCCTGTTATAACGTTGTTCTGTTCAACGTGTTCTGCCTTCCCTCACCTAAAGCTTGCTCTCTGTTCACCTTATGATTAACAGTTACTGCATGGTGGTGGGGGGGTAACTGTTATGTTCACGACCCAGGTTATTGGTGTTATTTGTTCTTATATCGAGTTTTTATATGTACGTTGATGTATATATAGAGGACATGATTGTATATATTGGTGACCTTATATCAAGTATAGGATATTGAGCGTATCATTTTATATCGAACAAGCCATTTCATAAATGCCTTTATATCAACTAGAATTATCCAAATTTATAAATGAGGTGATTATTGTATTTATATAATCTTATATCGCTCTGGAGGTCTGTTCACCTTGACATATAACACGCATACATTCACACACACCTTCATATAGCTTGTAACCCTGATATATAACCACACGCGAGACATTACTAAAGGTTCTACTTACAAAAATACTAATGTCAACAAGATTTTCATAAGACGAAAAAACAAAAACAAATACAAAACAAGGAGGATTCGAACCCTTTTATTTGAGGTTTCTTGTTTGAACCTCCTCGCCATAATATCAGATGAAAATATAAGTAACAGGGGATTCGATACCTTATACTTCATCCGGGTGTCATTGGGTGATCCTCCTCCACCATGAGACACGACAAACCTAATTTGTTTTCCTGAGTGAATACTTTCATTAGGGAAAACGACATTATTATTTTCCTATCCCCCAAAAATTACGATTATTATCATCGACAGGGAAAACGAACTCAATAATTCCCTGTAAAACCCATGGCACCCAGTATTGTCAAGGGAATCGAAACCACTATTTTCCTGCCTAAAAAATACTCACCGATACTATCGACAGGAGAAACGACCCTATTATTTTTCTATTGAAGTCATGGCACATATTATCTCGTTATATATATGTGTGTGTGTGTGTGTGTGTGTGTGTGTAGGGCGCCTGGTTCTGAGTCACTAGCCAGACAAGGAAATAGGTCATCACTTCTTGCGGGGGAGGGAAAGACCGGACACTACTGTAACGTTGTAATTTAATGTAGGAATAACTGTGCTGCAGGTACTGTACTGTAAGGTGTAGTGGAACACAATGAAGTACATTAGGTTAGGTTAGGTTATAGATCAGGTCAAGCTAGATAAGGTTAGGTTAGGTTAGGTTGTGTCTTACTAGGACTGGGACCCATGTGACCAACCATCTTAAGTCTACACTCAAACCTCCCCCTGACCAAAGTGGCCCTTACAACGGCTTCACACCCCTTCCTCCCTGACCAAAGAAGCCCACATTACCCCTCCCCTGACCAAATTAACTACCCCTACCCCTACTTTCCCCTCCCGGCCTCAGGTACACCAAAGACAGACACAGGAGCAGTAAGGTCATCCCCCGAATAGGAAATAACGCGGGTACAAATGTCTGGACCAGAGGGACTCCACCACACGTACCGACACACAACTCCCTACACCCGCGTCTCTTTGAGGTCCAGAAACACATTCCTCTCTACAACTGGTGATTGCAAGACGAGTTAACGGTATAATCGATGGTAATTTGATCCTAATATTTGTATCGTAGTGGTTTAGTTAGATACATGTTCATAGATCTAATTCAAAGGGAAAAAAAATCAAGGTAGGAGCTTCTGAGACTCCATCTTTGTTGTTGCTTAAGTGAGGTAGTTGGTGTCCTTCTCACATCACTAAGCTTGGGAAAATTTTTCATCATAAGAACATTTGAGTTTCCGGTTGAAGGTTAGGGAGGTTGATTACAACATCTTGTATCCTGTCTCTCCGGGTACTGACGATGACTCCACCTGCAGGAGACACACGGATACCCTCGTCAGGCGGGTGTTGGGGCTGGTTATCTTGTTCTCCTTCTTCCCTCCCTCTGACCCTTGCCACACTCACTTCTTCCTTCTCACTCCTGCCACACCCTATCTCTCCCTCTCCTATAACACTCCCTTCCCCTTCCCCCTCTCTCCCCTGTTACACTCTCTCCCTCCCTCTCACTCCTGCCATATTATCTCCCTTCTCTCTCTCTCACTCCCCCTTCCTCTTCCCTCCTTCTCTCTCTTTCATCTTCTTCCCTCCCCCTATTTTTCCTATTCAATCTAATATTGATTTTTCTCTCTCTCAACAACCAGGAGGTAGAGTAACGACAGCAGGCAGCCACAGATACTACCTAACACACCGTGACTTATTGTACAAGCCACAAGCAGCGTCCATATGGTTCTCCCTGCTGCTGGTGACGTCAAGTAAACAACACAGCAGAAAGGAGACGATCATGTTCACAATAATGGCGGCTGATACAAGGAAGATGGTGGTGGTGATGATGATGATGATGATGATGATGATGATGATGATGTAGAAAAGATGATGAGAGAGAGAGAGAGTCCATTCATCACCCAACAACAGCTTCAAACAGAGAGAGAAAGAGAGAGAGAGATAACGGTAGATGACGTCAGCAAGTGCCGCAACAACCTGTCAGTAAGACTAGCCACCACCCCCTCACCCCCGGGCCTATGTGAGGCTACCTGGACACACCATGAGTCCTGATAGATAGACCCACTCTGTGTGTGTGTGTGTTGCCTGGTGTGGGTGATGGTGTGGGTGATGGTGTTGGTGATGGTGTGGGTCGCCTCCAACCATCACATAAAATCATTATATAATACTGTAAATACCGTCAAGTGTCGCCTTTCACCGCCGACAGTAAACATGTCATAATTTTTTTCTTTCATAGAACCTTTGTGTGTGTGTGTGTGTGTGTGTGTGTGTGTGTGTGTGTGTGTGTGTGTGTGTGTGTGTGTGTGTCATCATGGAAGCTTAGTACGTTCCAAAACAGTTTGTGTTGAACATCAAGAAACAAACTTATGTATTACGACACCTTCACACTGATGTACCTGAGAGAGAGAGAGAGAGAGAGAGAGAGAGAGAGAGCTCGAACAGAACAAAAACATCAAGAGCCCAAGTACTCACCCTGACCAACGCCGCATAGTTCTCTCTGTCCTCCGGGGCGGAACCATCGCGAGACGCCGGGTACTCCCAGTCCAGATCGAGACCGTCAAAGTTGTATCGTCTGAGATGCTTGATGGTTGAGATGATGAAGGTCTTACGGAACTCAGGCAGAGACACCAGTTCACTGAAGCGACCGGAGCCTTCATTCCACCCACCGATAGCCAGGAGGGTTTTGAGGGCCTTATTGTACTGCTTCAGCCCGTTGAACTTGGCATAGCCACCTGGGGTTGTGGATGAGGAAAAGGAATGTCAGAGGAAGGGTTTAGTGCATGGTATTGATGGGAGTTTTTGTTGATACTACCACTCTCTCCTGGGCCACACACACACACACACACTTTCCTCCCCTACATCACCACTGCACTATACACACTACACAACACCTATCTTTCTTACTTAACTCCCTTCTCTCTCTCACACACACACACACCTACACCCCCCCCCACCCCACCCACACACAAACACTTACCTTGTTCAATATCCTGGTAAGAATCGAAGGGTTTTATCTCAAACTCATCCGTGAGGCCACCAAAGGCATAGACCAAATGGGTACACAAATAAGGGTTAATATTCTGCGGTGTGTACTTGGCTAGTCCCTTCCTGTACACGGACCAGTTAGTGTAGTAGCAGACCACTTTCTTGTTTCTGTCCTCTGCTTGTCGTTTGTCTATCTCATCTGTAAAGGAGAGACAAAAAGAGACATTATGATTGGTTGTTATGGATGGGTAATATTAAGAGAGACGTTCTGATTGGTTATGGTTGGGTAATATTAAGAGAGACGTTCTGATTGGTTGTTATGGATGGGTAATATTAAGAGAGACGTTCTGATGGGTTATGGTTGGGTAATATTAAGAGAGACGTTCTGATTGGTTGTTATGGATGGGTAATATTAAGAGAGACGTTCTGATTGGTTGTTATGGATGGGTACTATTAAGAGAGACGTTCTGATTGGTTGTTTTGGATGGGTAATATTAAGAGAGGCGTTCTGATTGGTTGTTTTGGATGGGTAATGTTAAGAGAGACGTTCTGATTGGTTATGGTTGGGTGACATTTTGAGATATTGTTTACATTGAGAAATATGAAGGGTTTGGTTAGGTTAGGTTAGGTGGGAGATATATGCAGATAGATTGGTGGGAAGGTGGGTAGAGAGAGAGAGAGAGAGAGAGAGAGAGAGAGAGAGAGAGAGAGAGAGAGAGAGAGAGAGAGAGAGACAACCATGAACCAAATTAACCTTCTTTTTTTTGGTTAACACACGAAGGTAATCAACCAACCATTAGTCACCTGGTCACATCAAGGTTACTAATTAGCCTCCAGGTGTGACTCGAAGTAAGGTAACTGTTATTGTTAATTAAGATATGCCGGTCAGGTGTGGTCTAGCCTGGGTGAAGGTGGCTGGGAATTGCTTCAAGGTCGAGTGGGGGGAGAGGGAGGGTGAGTGGGAGGGAAGGGGAATTGGTGATTGGGGGGGAATGTGCGTGAGAATGGTGTGTGTGTGTGTGAGAGAGAGAGAGAGAGAGAGAGTAACGACATAATTTAAGGCCAGAGAAGCGATGATGGAAAGAGGTGAAGGGCAGAAGAAACGGAGGAAGGAAGAGAAAGTAAGAAGCCAAAAGAGGAACAAGCAACACGCGATAAAGATGGAAGAGTTAACACGGGATAAAGATGGAACCGTACACTAAATATACAGACAGACACACAGGCAAACAGACAGACGGTCACATACATATCTATACACAGAGACATACACACATACAAATATAGACAGAAATACAGACTTACATACAGTAGAAAGACAGACATACGGTCACACAATAGACAGACAGACATACGGTCACACAATAGACAGACAGACAGTTATCGGCCGGTATCTCAGGAGCATCACGGTGTTAAGTCACCTCATTCAAGGACAGTCACTTGAAGGTCAGTCAGTCTACTGTAAGTGTTATGTTACTGATTAGACTGTGAGGTTAGGTTAGGTTATGTTAGACTGGAAGGTTATATTGAGGAGAAACCACAGGTGACTAGATATTTGACCGATCAGACAGACAGATAGACAGCCAGAGAGACAGACAGACAGAGAGGGAGAGCAGGAGTGAAGAGGGAGGGAGGGAGGAAGGGAAGGAGGGTAGGAGTGAGGAGGGAGGGATGGAGGGAAGTGTGTCCGCGGTGTTGGGTAAGCCGATGTGCTGATAATGATGAGGTCGTGATGATCAGTAATGAATACAACATATGATAGAGAGAGAGAGAGAGAGAGAGAGAGAGAGAGAGAGAGAGAGAGAGAGAGAGAGAGAGAGAGAGAGAGAGAGAGAGAGAGGTGATTGATTTGTCACGCTGACCTACTACCCAGCACCAAGACACAATGTAACTTCACCACACTTCTACCAAACCACACCACACCCACCACCAGACGCCCACAAGCAGCACCGGAGGCCAGTGGCTGTAAGCGCCAGGGTGTCAGTATGGACAGGCCAGGGGGGTGGTTGGAGATGAAGGGGGGGGGGGGCATGGAAAGGTCAAGGGAGGGAACTGAGAAACATGAAGAGACAACAAAGGAAAACACAGACTAACGAGGGAGTAGAAGATGATGGAGGGAGGGAGGGAGACTTGTGGGGCTGTGTAACCAGTGGAGTTCCCCAGGGGTCAGTACTGGGCCCACTCTTGTTCATAATCTACATAAACGATCTAGATACTGGGATCAGCAGTGACATAAGTAAGTTTGTGAATGACACCAAAATAGGGCGGCAGATTAATTCAGGGCAGGATGCAAATGCACTACAGGAGGGTTTAAATAAACTGCAGGAGTGGTCAGAAAAATGGCAAATGAAATTCAACACCAGCAAGTGCAGCGTACTTAATATTAGAAGAACAAATACTGTCAATGTATACAGCCTTAACATCAACCTAGAGAAGTCGACTTGTGAAAGAGACTTAGGGGTACTTGTAAGCCCGGACCTACGGCCTAGAAAACAGTGCGTTAATGTTCGAAATAAGGCAAACAGAGTATTTGGTTTTATATCTAGAAGTGTAAGTAATAAGAGTGCAGAGGTCTTATTGCAATTATATCTTGCGCTAGTCAGGCCGCACCTCGATTATGCGGTTCAGTTCTGGTGCCCTTATTATAGAATGGATATCAATTCACAGGAGTCGGTGCAGCGAAGAATGACGAAAATGATTCCGGGACTTAGAAACTTCCATATCAAGATAGGTTAAAGAAACTAAACTTGCATTCCCTAGAAAGACGAAGAGTGCGGGGAGATATGATAGAAGTATTTAAGTGGGTGAAAGGAATCAATAAAGGGGATATAGATAAAGTTCTTATAATATCCGAGCAGGATAGGACTCGTAGCAACGGATTTAAGTTGGATAAGTTTAGATTTAGGAGGGAGATAGGAAGGAACTGGTTCACAAATTGGGTGGTGGACGAGTGGAACAAGCTTAGCAACTTTGTAGTAAGTGCTGGAATGTTGGAAAGTTGTAAAAGGAGGCTAGATAGATTCATGGATGATAGAGAGTGGTAGTAACTCTCGACAGGAGCTGCCATGCACAGGCCAACCGGCCTATTGCAGACTCCTTATTTTCTTATGTTATTATGAGAGAGGGAGGGAGGGGGGGGATGAAGGGAGGGGAGGGGTGATAAGAGGGCGAGTAGGAATAAGGTTGGGGTCGAGGGAGGTAAGGGGGAGTGGGAAAGGGAGTGGGAAGGAGGAAAAGAAGGGAAGGAGGAAAAGAAGGGAGGGAGGGAGAGAAACTACTAACTTAAAAACTCCTACATATTTCTCCAAAACACTTGACTACCACAACCACTTAGCTCTCTTGTCTCAGCACCACTACCACAACGCCACCACGAGCAATCACCTGCGTCTGGCGTTCGTTTCCTCACCCCCTCCTCCCCCACAATACCACCCTTACGAAATCAACACCAGACGAACGATCGCTTGACTCCCAATATCACTTGACCACACTTTAAAGCACCTCATTTGCATATTACCTGTCTCGATACCTGTTTGGCGTTCAGTTGTGTGATCATTAGGTTAGGTCAGGTTAGGTTAGGTTAGGTTAGGTTAGGTCAGGTTAGGTCAGGTTAGGTTAGGTCAGGTTAGGTTAGGTCAGGTTAGGTTAATTTTTTAAATATTTTTCTTTAAGGTTGAATTGTTTGTTTTGAGTTTGTATTAATATATTTTGTTGTTTGTTTTGATATAAATTGTTTTCTGGTCGAATTCCTTTTGGCTGATGTGTGTTTATGTGTCGTTTTTGTCAACACAGGTGGAAAGTGCTACTGACTACCTCAAGTAATGCTCCTTAATGTTCTACTGTCATCTACCACGTAACAGTAACGCTCCTTATACTGTTACCTGCCACGTAACAGTAACGCTCCTTATACTGTTACCTGCCACGTAACAGTAACGCTCCTTATACTGTTACCTGCCACGTAACTGTAGTGTCCAGTTTTTATTGTTCCTTTACCTGCCTTTGAAATTACCGATGACTTATCACCTAAATTATCACTTGAATATAGATAGATAGATAGATAGATAGACAAAGGTGTATGTACGTGGTTGTAATATAATAGAAAAGTAATTGAGAGAGAGAGAGAGAGAGAGAGAGAGAGAGAGAGAGAGAGAGAGAGAGAGAGAGAGAGAGAGAGAGAGAGAGAGAGAGAGAGAGAGAGAGAGAGAGAGAGAGAGAGAGAGAGAGAGAGAGAGAGAGAGAGAGAGAGAGAGAACTTGTTCACAAATATACTAAACCAAAAAAGAAGAAAATTTTAATATAATAACCAACACCTGAGCAACAACCCCCTGCCCATGTGTGTGTGTGCGTGTGTGCGTGTCTGTGTGTGTGTGTGTCTGTGTGCGTGTGGCCCAGCTTAAGTGACGGCCACAACTCATCAACATATTTTCTTCAGTGGTCAGGGAGTCAAGTTGTCTTAGTAACTAGTATATCAAGTCAAGCTGGCCAGGGGCGGCTTTAGAAGCTCTCGTATATAAAGCTTAAGCTCACCTTCGTCTAGAGTACCCGAGGAAAGCTTCAAGCTCTCGTATATAAAGCTTAAGCTCATCTTCGTCTACCGGGAAAGACTCAAAATTCCCACCGCTGTCAACATGAAAAGGAGGAGGAGGAGGAGAGAGAAAAGGAGGACGGAGAAGAGGAGGAGAAGAGGAGAGGAGGAGGAGGAGGAGGTACACAAGGGCGCTCCAGTATGAACAAGGTCAGCGGGACAGGGGCGTGGTCGATCTTGTGGAAGTGGAGCAAAAACCAGGACACCAGTACCCGAGGGGTCTGGGAGGGGGGTCTGGGAGTGGGGCCTGGGAGGGGGGCCTGGGAGGGGGGCCTTGGAGGGGGGCCTTGGAGGGGGGTCTGGGAGGGGGTCTGGTAATGTTGGGGGGTCGTGTTTCCATATAGACAGGCAGAAACACACATGCACTCCTATCTATCACAAATATACATTATAACTACTGTACATTCTAACGACCTAATATATTTCCGAAATCTCACTCAGCATCTCAATACAAATAAACTTGAAACAAAACATCCTCTCGGGGAAAAACAATCTCGACGAGTCAGTGAGGCGGAGGAGGTTGTACACAAGGGGTAAGTGAAGCAGCCCAACTGTTACCAAGTAAAAACAGTATCTAACAAGTCTTGCCACATCAGACGCCTACCTTAACATCCCTTATT